CTTCAAAAAGTGACAATTTAACTTCTTCATTCCCAATTTGGATGCCTTTTATTTCTTTTTCTTGAGTGATTGCTCTGGCTAGGACATCCAATACTATGTTGAAAAGCAGACGTGATAGGAGACAGACTTATCATGTTCCTGAATGTAGAGCAAAGGGCTTCAGTTTTTCACCATTAATTATGATATTAGCTGAGGATTTGTCATATATGGCCTTTATTATGTTAAGGTGTTTTCCTTCTATACCCATTTTATTGTTATAATCATAAATGGATGTTGTCACTTGTCAAATGCTTTTTATCTATTGATATAATCATATGATTTTTGTCCTTTATTTTGTTTATATGGTGTATCACATTGATTGATCTGTGTATGTTGAACCATCCTCGTGCCCCTGGGGTGAACTCCACTTGGTCGTGATGTATAATCTTTTTAATGCATTCTTCTATTCAATTTGATAAAATTTTGTTTAGTATTTTTGCATCTGTATTCATCAGAAACATTGGTCTGTAATTTTCTTTTTTGTGTGTTATCCTTACCAAGTTTTGGTATCAGGGTAATGTTGGCCTCATAAAATGAGTTAGGGAGTATTGTCTCTTCTTCAATTTTTTGGAAGAGTTTGAGTAGGACAGATATTAGATCCTCTTTGACTGTTTGATAGAATTCACTAGTGAAGCCATCTGGTTCTGGACTTTTGCTTTAGAGAAGGTTTCGGATGACTGATTCAATGTCCTTACTGTTGATCGGTCTCTTTACATTTTCCTATTATTCATGATTCAGCCTAGGAAGGCTATATGTTTCTACAAACATGTCCATTACTTTTAGGTTATTGAATTTATTCACATATAGTCCTTCATAGTATTCTTGGATGATACTTTGTATTTCTGTGGATCCGTGGTAACTTTCCCTCTTTCATTTCTGATTTTGTTTATTTGTGTCTATTCTCTTTTTAATCTTAGTGAGTGTAGCCAAGGGTTTGTCAATTTTATTAATCTTTTCAAAGAACCAGCTTTTTGTTGCATTAATTTTTATATTGCCTTTTTGTTGCATTAATTTTTCTATTGTCTTTTTGTTCCCTATTTCATTTAGTTCTGCTCTGATTTTTATTATGTCTTTCCTTCAGCTGACTTTGGATTTCATTTTTTCTTCTTTTTCTAGTTTTTTAAGGTGTAACACGAGGTTATTTATCTGGGATTTTTCTTTCTTCTTAAGATAGGCCTGTAATGATATACATTTCCCTCTTAAAACTGCTGTCGCTACATCCCCCAAATTTTGGTAGGATGTATTTTCATTCTTTTTTGTTTCCATGTATCTTTTGAACTCTCCTCTTACTTCTTCTTGAACCCAGTTGTTCTTTAAAAGTATGTTGTTTAATCTCCACATATTTGTTTTCCTTGCTTTGTTTTTGCAGATGCTATCCAATCTCAAAGTCATGTGACCAGAGAATATGCTTGGTATGATGATTTCAATCTTCTTAAATTTGCTGAGGCTAGTTTGATGTCCTAATATATGGTCTATCCTTGAGAATGTCCCATGTACACTAGAAAAGAATGTTTAGTCTGATGTTCTAGGATGACGTGCTCTATAATTGTCAATTATGTCCACTTCATCTAATGTGTCATTTAGGGCTAATATTTCTTTCTAGTTTCTGTTCGGATGTTCTATCTATAGCTGTCAATGATGTTTTGGTCAATTTCTATAATTGTGTTTTGGTCAATTTCTCCTTTTAGTTCTGTTAGTAGTTGCTTTGTATATTTCTGTGCTCCCTGATTGGGGGCATAAATATTGATGACTGTTATGTCTTCTTGTTGTATAGTCCCATTTATCATTATGAAATGTCCATCTTTGTCTCTTGTTACCTTTTTTATCCTGAAGTCTCTTTCATGTGATATCAGTTTGTGTACACCTGCTTTTTTCTGAATACCATTTGCTTGGAGTGTAAATTTCTGCCCTTTCACTTTGAGTCTATATTTGTCCTTGTACCTGAGATATGTCTCTTATAGGCAGCATATGGTTGGGTTTCGTTTTTTTTATCCAATCTTCTACTCTGTGCCTTTTTATTGGTGAGTTCAGTCCATTTACATTTAGGGTGATTATTTATATATGAGGATGTCCTATCATTCTATCTTTGGCTTTCTGGTAAGATGGTGTCTCCATTATTTTTTGCCTTTGTGTTGCTGTCTATTAATTCAGTGTGGTGGTATTCTATGATTTTTTTCCCTCTGTTTCTTCTTTTTTTATGTTATTATTTCATTTTTTTATTTTTTTTGAGCAGTTACCATTAAGTTTACCGTATTTCCCCATGTGTAAGACGCACCCCTTTTTGAAAAATTTGGGGTCTAAAAACCGGGTGCATCTTATTGGTTGTAGATTTTGTTTACTTGCATTTCCCGCTTTTTTTCACACTTGTTTTTGCACTCATACAACCACTGTATAAGACGCACCCAGTTTTTAGACCCCAAATTTTTTGAAAAAGGGTGTGTCTTATACATGGGAAAATACAGTATGTGAAAGAAAGTTTCGTATTTATAGTATTCCATTTTCTTCAGCACATTTACTTTTTCCATTCCCCTGTGCCAGTTCAGACCTTTACTCTCTCCCCTTGAATGCTTTTGTTGTCACAAATTATCCCTATTTACTGTGAGAGTTGATTTCTGCACTTCGGTAGTAAGTTGTCTTTTTCCATTTTTTTTTTTAAGATTTTACTGGGGAAATTGGGGGAGGGAACAGCGTTTGGGAATCGGGAAAGGGGAACCAACAAGTTGCTGTCCTTTTGCTCTTCAGTCTAGTTGTGGAGGACACCGCTTCACTGTCCCATGTTGGTAGTGTGATCATTGCACTTTTCCCGGGTGAGGCAGTTCGGTCACTGGCCATTGGACAGCTGCTCATGGCAGCGGCTCACGGCAGCGCACACTGGCTGCCTGCCGTGCATGCTTGCTGCCAGCCACTCACAGTAGCTTATGGCAGCCCACTG